CTGCCAGGCAATATCACCATCTCTGCCTCTCAACAAGCCCCGCTTCTCTCCTGGCCACTCCACTTTCCGTAACATTTTTAGCACTGTGACGTGCTGTCTTATGTGCTGTAACACACCGTACTCCGCTCATGTATCCGATTCCTTCTGCTGTATGAATTCTGCCACCTAAACGGAGCTATAAAAACTATGCAGTGAATGTACAAAGACCTCCCCCATTCCCTTCCCCACCTTACCAGGCTAGCTCCATTTTTAGCAATCACAAGTGATCTCAGACGCACCGAATAAAAGATAGCTACCTGCCTTCAGAGAGCAATTTTGCCTGTTCCCAAGAGGTGGCTGAAGGTGGGATTCATCGTATTTACTGCTGTAACTACAGCTCTCAAGGTCGCATCCTCTCTGAGCTGTGCTGGTCAAGCTTAACAGCACAAAAGGATGTGCTGTTGCTCAACAAGCTGACTAATTTCTTGGTGTATTACAGAAACAGTCTCCATGCCGTTTCCATCTCGAAAGGCCTTGATTTCTTATAGCCTGAACTGCATTAACAACACATTTCATTACATTTTTTTAATAGAACGTGGCTAAAAGGAGAGCCCTAAAGATAATTTGCTGTAGAAGAGTCTACTATAGAGTCTACAAAGTCCCTGGCTTTGGATACCGAAAGAGACACTCAGTGAATAGCTATGACATGAATCTCCTGAACAGTGCGTTTAGGGATCAAGTCTTTTGGTAATTCTCGAATGATGATGGATATTTTTTGGTGAAGGAAAGTGAATTTTCACATGGCCATATGGTCACAAGCCAGGCCAGTATTTTCTCCAGCTTCCTTTTAGTTACTGCTCCACAGTGAAGCAGAGAAGGGCAGGTAGCTCTCCTAGCCCAAGTCCCAGCATTGGTTCACATCAGCCCTATACGCACAGATGGGAGAACTGGTACAAGCTGTAGCTTGCAGAAACAGCACGAGACAGAACGTAGCTGAGAGGCGCGAGATGCCCGTGCTGGCAGCACGCGTGCCAGGCTCCATTCTGCCTCCAGCCCTCGTCACAACGGTGGCTTCAGGCAGGACTCAGGCTGGTGCTGCCCTCACAATGGGAAAAGAGAAATGATATGGCTAACAAGAAGATGCTTCCTTGCTGGACAGGCAGACTCATCTCAGATAATACAAGAACAATCCTCTAACTCTCTGTCAGTCATCACCTGCTGTGCTTTTCTAAGGTAAGAATCACCTTAGCTCTCCATAACTTAATCATCTCAGCGGTAGCCAGCAAGAACAAAAAAGCGGACAAGTGTCACTTATTAGGGACTATGGCAGCTAGCAGTCTTTTGTTACAGGTCCATTTTTGTCTTTCTGCTCCATTTTCAGAAAGAAAAGTCGTTGGCAGGAATAAGTTACACATAAATCCAGAATCTATTGCTTTCTGAATGTTGTACATGGTCTCGTGCAGCTGCAGCAAAACCCAGCCAAAACAAGATGTAGATTGTGCAAGAGCCAGGATGGAGCTGGAGATCTCTGTTGAATCTCAGGGGTTTGTTTGTGAGTTATTCCTATATTCGGAATTTTATCCTTGCAGCAATCTTGGTGTCCTGAGACTACCCGGTAGGCACTTGCTACAGTGGGTAACTGTCCTCTCATGCAGATTTTTAGGCACATACGTAGACGAAAATACCCACTGCTGTAGAGATTTGTAAGCAGTACTAAGATTGGTCTGGATGAATTATGAATGGAAACATCTGTGTGTGTGAAAGCACAACCAACCTGTCAGCAGCAGACCTGTCCTCTGATGACAGGAGGATTAGAGAGCACATCGCTTCCATAGCCTGTCTGAAGGCAGGCTATAGCCGTAAAGCTTCCCCAAACAAGGAACCAAAACGGTAGCAGCACTGCTTAAGATCTATGGAAGCCGAAAAAACCAAGACCCTGAGGTGAAAGATCACCCCATAACAACAGGTAAGTCCTAGAAAGTGTAAAAAACAGTCCAAGAGCCAGTCTGTTGTGAAGAACAACTCAGGAGACATAGCGAAGGCTTGACAGATGGTGTCCCTGGTCCTCCCTGCAGCACACAACCAAGCCTGGCTACAGCATATGGATGCACGAGGCTTGGCGCCTGCACGGGGTGGTGAGAGCACGAGTGAGTGAAACCTAGAAACGTGAATGACTGAAAACAGTTTTGTTTAGAATAAATATCCCCTTTCCCTTCTATAAGGCCTCACATTGAGTTTTATTATATTAATTTTCTACAGTGGTGCACAACCACTGTGCAGTATAAAAGCTGGGTAATATAGCTGGGGGACTTTTTGTATGGCAAAAAATTAAATGGAGCAGTGTGTTGACATTGTCAGCACTTACGGGCATGTGCACGAGCTTAAATTCCAGGAGACACATCCTTTAGACCAGGTAATCTTCAGTATACTTCATGTTCAGGTAAAACCCTAAGGGGAATATTTTGTTGAAGGAGGGCCTAGCATATCTGAGGAGAAGTATATCCCTACATAATAAGCCTCTCCATTAAAAAAACCCCTGGATGTCATGCACTCTGGTATTCACACAAAAAGCAGCGTTGCTCAAAATCATGCACTACAGAAAATTCTTCAACTGCGATGCTTTGCACTGGCACTGAGCAGCTATAGCTAGCTGCAGCCAGCTCGCCACAACAAACATGAAAGCAGTCAATCAGCATCACTTTAAAAGCACGTTTGTATGACTGAGCGCTGGTATTTTAAGACCTTCCGCAGCAAAGTTTCACCAAATCTTTGATCATTTCAGTGTGCCACTTTTGAAAGTTGTCCTTAAATTGAAAAGGATTATAAAAAACATACAAAACTTGGGAAAACAAACCCTCTTGGATGATGAGGTTTTGAATCCATTTTCTTCCCTGTGTGAACACACCGGAGAGATGCATGGGTAGGAAGAACTAGGGCAACCTCATCTTGCTGAAAACTGGGTTTTTGACAGTCACTGGTAAAAACTGTCTCTGACCTAGGAGTATCTGCATCAGTCAGAAACCCAGCATTAAAAAGAAAATAAACTTGCCACAGCTAACACAGTCATATGAATCTTCATTTTGCCTCCCTGGGAACACAGCTACAGCAAACGAGAGAGGTCAAGAGAAATCTGATTTAGGAGAATACACTTCTGTCCCTCAAAGCTATTCCCCAAACAATTCCTTTCTTTGCTGCAGGAAAAGAAAGCAGAGAAACTGCCCTCCCACCATGTTTCAAGAGAATAGAGCCCTCTTAGCTCTTTGTACTCTCAGCCCTGTTTGCTTATCGCTTGCAGCTCAGGCAGACAGCTGCAGTTCCCACCGGCTTTCCAGAGGAGATCAATTATCCCACCTAGGAACAAAGCATCCAGGAACCACTTAATCACACTTTTCAGAGAAGTAAGAGGAGAAACCATCCCATCCCTGGCAGAGGGGCTGGCAAGGATGTTCTGGCAGCGTTCGAGGTTGGAATACCAAATGTTAGACTTGTTCTAATAAAGATACTTGGATTGCAAGACAGGATTTTTCTTTCTTTGGTGAGCTGATAGCTACATGCCGCCTGCCTTCAGGGTAAAACAGCACTTGTATGGGTGCAATATTTTGTTGGCAGAAATATTCTCTCTCCAGGAAAGCGCAATCAAAGCAGCCAGCGTATGCAATGATAGGACACAGACCTTTCAGAGAATTATACCCCTTCCCAGGAGGGTAAGCTATGTAAATATAAAAAGGAAAGAATTCTATTCTGCACGAAAGCAGATTGTTGCCCCGCATTGCCAAGGGACTGAACCTAATCACTAATCCTCTGCATCTTGTAGGGGAGGCAGAACTCCAAGCCACAGGACTGTGGTAGTGCAGCAGGAATATTTCCCCGGAGACAGCAGCTCACGGAAGAGATAAGGTACATTGCAGCTTTGGAGTGACAAGATTGCTATCGCAGCCTGTGCCTCATTACTATTTCCAACCTTCAGCAGAGATCTATGATGCCTTTCCAGGATTAGCCTACTTCTAAAGCTGAAGAAAGTCTCTCTTAATTTACAGCCTGTTACTTATTTAACACCAGAATCACATTAATTGAGAGTGCCTTTGGACTACCCCAGCATTTTAGCAGTACGGTGTACTCGGAATACCACCTAGGACTAGAGAGCGTACAGAGTGATGCCAAGCGCAGTACTTGGCTTAAACAGAGCACGTTTTAGGTATACAAACATTTTGGCCTCATACCTAGAAGCACGGAATCTGATAGTATATATTGCCCCCTTTTTTAAATACTGGGCTTTTTTCGTCTTCAAAGATTCCCATGAATGGTCATCTTAATAAAATGATGATAATCTCCATATATGGCTTCAAATAATGGAAATACAAAAAATGAGAACTGGAGACAAGCCAGCCCCCAAATTTCTGGCCTAAGGATCCCCTGCTTTGCATTCTGGTATAAAGCCTAAGTGCAGTAAAGTGTGTTACAACTCTTCTTGGAGTCAAAAAACGTTTCTAAAACACATTCTTTTAGGACACTAACTCAGATGAACAAAAGACAGCTTGTTACCAGAAGTATACATAGGCTTCTAAGTATGTATTTTGGTATCAGAATGATTATTTTGCTACTTTCATCCTTTTAATCACCTTGGCACTTCTTTTTTCCCCCAAACCAAAAGGCTATCTTGAAATAGGGAAGATGGGCAGCTATTGTGCAGCATTAAAGACTAATGGCTTATCATTTATTACCAGTAATGAGCCTCAGCTATTCACCCTGAATTATTCTTCTAAAGGCAAAGCAGTTAAAAGTAACGGGTATTCTGCTTCAGCTCAGAATAATGAGGACACTAAAAAAGTATATAAACAGCTAGAGTATGTGCCAGCTATGCAGGCAGAGAGATCCGCTCTACTCTAATTGAATGGGCAGTACACCTGCAGCACAGGCAAGTCAGACAAACACACCATCTATCATGCCAGAGGAAAATTAATAGGTATAAGAAGAACAGTGCATCTCACAAGCGATTACCCAGCTCCCTTTCAATGACTTACTTTCCCTCTGATCCGTAGCTGTTCATGCTGTCCTCAATGGACTCATGGCTGGCTTGACGGACGGTCCGGCTGGGCATTTCGACAGCCAGCCCCGTTTCTGTGCTCCTTTGGATGGCTCCTTTCAGTCTCCGACCATCCCCATCTAGGAACAAAAGGGGAGAGAAGACAGTCAGCTATTGTTCCCAGAGCCTTTTGCAACGACAGAGTCAAGGAGAAGCAGAGAAGGTCTTTCAGAAGATCTGCCTGGCATCTGGCAGCCAGGCAGTATCTTGCACTCATGCAGCGTTTCGTTACTCAGCCCTGCTTCATCAGCAGCTCCCAGTCATCTTTGGAACAAACCCAGTCCTCCAGCAAGCCAGGGCCCAGCAGAAACTCAAAACATACATACCACCCTACCTACCCCAACCATTTGTACCAATTAATTATGCATCAGGTGCAGGTGCATGCAGGCACACAAGCTGGCTATATGTGGAGCTACCCAGTTTGGGAACACAGCAGCAGTAACCATGGGCACAGCTGAGGTGTACAGCCTGGCCATGCCTCGAAACGTTTCCTAAATCCCATGTTGCTGCCTCAGATTGTGTGGAGCAGCGAAGAGCCGCAGCTCCTGGTGAGCATCAAGGGAGTAGAGGGGAGGAAAAGGCCAGGCAGCACCAGAGGTGATGTGAAGGCAGGAGCCCTCCCAGACAGGCCATAGGGGAAAAGTTGACACGGCCAAAATGTTCCCTGGTGGCACCTGTAATGGCACCAGGAGTAGAAAACCCCAGAGGGGACTATTCCCCTTCGTACTCGCCCTCGGCCAGAGCGCAAAGGGAATTAAGTAGGTTCTGGTTCCTCCTGGGTGCAGTCTTTAGAGGCTCAGCCCTCTGAAATTAACAGCTGCTATTTTCATCCTCCATCTCTAGCAGTCTGTTTCTGAGCACAAACCATGTTATGTAATGAATATGTAATGAATACCATTACTATTAATTGCTTTAGCTGGTGTTAGGAGGCTCCAGATTTCATCCCACATACAGCATTCATCCTGAAACACATCTGCTACAAGTCTTCTGAACAAAGCAGAATTATCTAAATCCTTTAAAGGTGCCTGTCCATTAACCTGGATTCAGGCAACAAATCTCTGACCCACAGTGCTCTCAGAAACCCATCAGCTTTTTGAGTACCACTCTGAAGAAGAAATGACCCAGCTACTGACTCTAGAGAACTCAAGATCCCCAAATATTAAAGAAAACAAGTCTTTTCCCAACTACTTTGGAAATATGAGGATATCTGTAAGAACCTGTCTAAAATATGCAGAACATTGTTATTTGTGTAGCAAGCTGTTTGACCTAAAACACTTTTCTTTGGATCTTGGTGTGAACTGTGAACAGGCGCTTTAAAAAAAAAAAAAAAAAATCAGTAAGATATCAGAAATGCTTCCTATCCTACTTCTCAAATTATACCTACACTGAAATGCAAAGGCAAAAATTCTTCCATAAACTCAGCTATAAAGTCCCTTTTCCTCTGTATCATGAGGTTTCCAACTGAGTAAACGTGTTGGCCCCAGAGTTCTATACCAGCTGCTGTCCCCACATTTGGTGCAGTATGTGTATGCATGTCCCTGTGGGCTAAGAAGATAGAATATGCATGTTCTGGGTTAACATTAACTACGGTTTGTATTGTTTGTGTGCCTAGAGCAATGTATGAAGCACATTGTATAAATCAGGAAGTTACACAAATGTAAAACATATTTTTAATGTGCTTTCAAAAATCCAAACCTTCAGGCAATAACAACAATATAGGCATCAATAAAAGCAAAGCCTCGTGAAACAGCCTTACTGACTTCCCCAACCACTGCTGAACAGTTCCCTTTGACGCACCTTCAACAAGCCTTGTGCAGCTTGCTGGATCCTCTGATGGGGTTTCTAGGTTCCTTTCAGAGAGCATCCCACAGCCTTGCCGGCGGACTTGATAGTCCATTTAATTTGCCTCGCATTCATCTCCACAAATAATCTTTTAGTCGTCTACATCCATCAATGCCCACCCCTCCTTCACGTGTGCATTCTCAGAACACTCATCCTTCTGCACCTTTTAGGTTAGTCCTTACGAGAGCCTTGGTAGGCAACCACAGTCAAAGCAGCAAATGACAAATGCAGGAAACAAATTAAACATGCCCCGTTGCCCACCTAAGCAACATCTGTTTAAAAAAATCTCTTATTTCCCCAATCTAATAAGACATGCCTGGAGACATTCATACTTAGAAGACTATGCATCCACATCTGGCAACAACCAAGAGGCTCGGGACAGAGCAAGGCTTTAGAGCAACCCAAGGTACTTGCTGCTTTCTATTAGCCATCTCCTGATTCAAAGCTAATGACATAAAGCAGAAGGGCCCAAAGACAAGGAAAGGCAGCACCGTTGAAGATGGGTAGTACCAGAGCACTTTTACCAGAGATGATTCAGCTGGCACGGGGCAAGTTCAGCTACAGCACCACACGCAAAGCCTTGCACTACTGGCTTTCTGTGAGTGGGTGGTTTTCTAGTATTCCTGATTGTTTTTACAGCTATGACACGTGGATATTCTTATTTAAAAAAAAAGAAAAAATTTATAATGGAGAAACTCTGGAAAACAAGGAGACAGGAACAGATGACAAGAACCCTTCGTTCCTCCCTCCTCTTCCAGACAGAGATGCACAACGACTCCTGCATCTCACAAACCATCTCCCATTATTCTGGAGAAAGGTTTTCTCCTCCAGCCTCTTTTTGCCAGACGTTTCCCTTGAACAGAAGAGAAGGAACCTGTTTGACCAAAAGGCAAGCTCCCAAACCACTGCAGCCAGAGTCAAGACTGAAACAGGGTAAGAGACTGGCACAAGCACCAGAGATGCCATCAGAAATGGGACGTAGGTTCCTAAATCACTCACTTAAACCCTTTAGCCAAACTTCACCCATAGTCAGCACATTACAAGAATACAGTGTTTTAACCCCCTCAGTTGGGAGAGAAGGGCGGATCAGAAGTAGCATACCTGGAAAGGGCCAGCATAGAGAGGAAATAAATAATCTGCACTGCTCATCTGTGGACTGAAAACATTTCACAAGCAACAGTCACCCACTAGCAACCCTCCCTGGTCAGTGTGGAGCATCGCATAGGGGCTGTGCCTCCTCCCTTACCTGAAATCTTGTGCTTCAACACCTTTGCAAATCAAGAAGGTAAATGATATGCGTCTATGTGGGTGTTGCCTGGCAAAACCATTTGTCATCATTTAATGGTTAGCAGTATCTGGAACAAGTAAGAGTAGTATCGATATTTTCCGCAGTGTCACCCGATTTATTCCCCGCACCTTTTCATTAAGCGGTAAACGACAAAGGTTAAGCAGCCGGTCAAGTCTGCAGTGCAACACACAGCTGAAGAGCAGATTCTGCTTCAGAATGACCTTGGGAAGAAGAAATTTTTTGCTCAAATATCCAGGATGAAGATACACAGCACCTCGCAGACGCCAAGAACCAGAAGGGACCAGCAGACACTTTGCCAAGTTCTCTGTGTTGACAGGCACTTAGATTTTTGCTCTGTTCAGCCAAACAATTTACGTTTGGCTAAAAAATACCTTCTAAAAAGCTATCCACTCTGGATTTGAAGATATCAAGAGATGAAGAATCTGCCATTTGCCTATGCAGTTTATTTTACTACCTGACATTTAGAGATGTGACTTAAGTTTGTCTGGTTTCAGCTTTCACCCATCCGTTTTTTTAATGCCCTTCTCCAACACGATGGCTGCTTCGTGTTCTCGCTATAAAGACTCTTCTGCGGCGTAATCAAGTCATCTCTCAATCTTTTTTCACAAGTTAAACAGACTGAGCTCTTTATGTTTCTCATGCTCTGGCATTTTTTTTTTTTGCTCCTGCCCTTGAAACTTTTTAATGACCTCCCCAGGTTTTAAATGCCCTTTTGAGAACACGCACAGAGTTTTAGTGTTCTAAAACTAAAGAGAACTGCGTTTAGTTCTCTTTAGAGAACTGCGTTTTAGTGCAAAAACATGTACAGAGGTAAAAATCAGCTTGTACTCTCATCTTCATTGCTTCTGCTTGCATCTCCCAAGACCACAGTAAGGTCTTGGTATAGCATCACACCTCACCTGTGCAGTCCCTGCCTGTCCTGCTGGTACGACCTTGTAGAACATTATATTAAGAAATATGTAAGAAAACATTTTTTATTTGAAGAAAGAGAGCAAAAAGTCCAGACAGCTCTATACAACTCTCCCACCCTCAATACTATTTACTACCCTTCTAATGTGCATATCGCCTGTGAATTTAGTGAGGTTTAAACTCATGCTTGCTCCAAATGCTGAATAGCACCAGGCCTTCAAAAGAGCCTCCTGCCTTTGAGGCTTTCCCTTGACAACTGCTTTTTGAAATGTGAAGTAAGTTTTTAATCTATTTATCACTATCACATTTTTTAGGGTCATGCTGTTCTAGGACAAAACCCTTACACACTTACCACATTTATCCAGATACCTGCTTCTACTAAAACTCGGAGAAACAAAATGCCCGACAAGACCCATTTTCCCTAAATCCTTCTTGACTGGTATTAATTATATTCCATCATTTTGTTCTTTATTAATTGGATCTCATTATCAAGTTTCCCCTAATTCTGTCTGTGAGTGACATCAGACCAACTAACCAAAAGTACCCTCCAGACAACCCAGTAATGGACAAAAAGGAGTAAGGTGACCGTGCAGGTGCCCTGCATAGCACAGAGCATCCTTTGGAGAGTTCCCTTCCTTAAATATATTTTCAGCTGTCAACTGCATCGAGAGGCCGCCCTTCTCAAGGATGACGCCACTCCTGTAGCACAACTGCCTGCCACCAAGAACTGTATTTGCCTTAAATCTTGGGGGTGGGAAAAATAAGAGCGGCATTGTCCCCTTCTCTCCCCCAAGGAAAGAGTCACCATTTCTCACGTCCTCTTCTATGTCAGTCTAACACACGACTCTTCGAAGCCCTTCCTCTCCGCTACTGACAGGTCTCTCCATGCTCAGAGGCCGTCAAGTCTTGAAAAATCTATGCAAGTTCTGCAATAGCTCATCACAAGGTCATGATTATATAATTATTACTCCTACACAGAATTACTCTAGATGTTTATTGAGTTGATGTTTCTGAG